CACTACTCTTGCCGGAGTAGTCGTATTGAGATGTTTTGGGTTAGACTTGTGTGTTTCGGCACGTCTTGCCGGGCGTGCCACATATACATGTGTTTTTGCCGGGAGTTTGAGTTGTAGGTACCTACTTACGGCAAGCGTCGGTAATCGCTTATGCGTTGCATACATACGGAGTTCGTTGCGTTGGCCCATGGTGGAAATCGACAAGGACTTCAAGGCTCGATTTTTGCGCTCTCACGTAAACGTGTGTCTACGTCGAGTTTATGCATTCATGGTTACTATCTCTCCGAGACACACAAACATAGCCTCTCTCGATTCAAGTGCTTCACCGTTAAACCGTTCGGATGGCTCAAATTCACGCTCTATGGTCTTCGGTTGACCTCCTCTATTCCCTCCGGACGACCACTATTGGACACACGGTGGTGACGACCACCGTGTCGGGTACGCATTTTCTTTTCCTATTTTCTCTTTCTTTATTTGCTTCTTGTGTGTCTTTGTGTGATTTTGTCTTGTTTGCTTGTCATTGTGTCTCGTCTTCATTTTTATCGCATGAACGTACATGATTATGTGCTTTCGCCTATACTTTTTGGTCAAGCAATGAGGACATTGCTTTGTTTGAGTGTGGGGGAGGGATTTTGTGATTATGCATGTTTAGGTGATATTCTCTTCGTTTTTGTGCCTTATTTTTAGTTTTGTCGTGTCGTGGACCGGTTTTATTTGAGTTTTTGTGTGTTTGTGTCATCTCTCCCGCATGAAACTTGATGTTTGTTCGAGAGTCGAGATAGCTAAGTGGTGAGTCGAGATTATTGATTGGTTTCACTATTAGCATTCATGCTTGATGTACTTGATGAATTTGACGGTTTCCTTTTAATTGATTGATGATTCGTTGATATTGGAACTTGCATGTGGATTAACGGAATTGTTTTGTCCTTTGCTTGTTCTCGATTGGTTGTCTTGAGGCATGCTTACCTTGTGTTCGATTGTCGTTGTAAACGTGTTATCTATACACTTGTGGTACATTTCGATCGAGTTGAGATGATTATGTATTGTAATTGTGATGTATCCTTGTGTGCCTCTCCATAAAAAGAAAAAAAAAAGGAAAAAAAAAGAAGAATAAAAAGTGAGTTCGCGAGGAAGTATGGATTAGTCTCCTCTTATTCCGAGCCATTCGTGGATTGGGATAATGAGCCCGGGAAACCGGTTTAGGAAACTCGAGGAAACCCCTCGAGGTTAAACCTAGATCATCTCGTCCGGAAACCTCGTTCGGAAAAAGAAGCTCACGAAATGAGTTCGTGGGAGTCGAAAGGATTAGGCTCTTCTTGGCTCGGTTAATCTTTTAGATAGATCGGGTCAACGAGCACGGAAAACCGGCCTAGGCGACTCGGGAATAACCCCCGAGGTTAAACCTAGGTAATAATCGTCCTAACGGCTCTCATTTGGAAAAAGTGGCTCATTCAAAAAAAAAATAATAATAATAATAATAAAAAAAGAAGAAAATCGGGGAGTTGGCCTATTGATCTCGTGCTTATTATTTCGTTTTT